AAAACATAAAAATATTCAAGGGAACAGAAGAGCTCTTACCCTCTATATCCATCGATGTGAAAAAAATGGTGAGCATTCCTGGCACAATGAATGTGTAAATTCCAATCCTGGGAACATCCGGAGAGCTTCTTTCAAGAAACAAGGGGGTTTTCTTTTCTGTTACTATGTTGGTTATGCCAAATAGAAAATTGGGCTAAGCAAAGACAGGGCTTAGGCAGCTGAGGTTGAACCAGAGATGGAAAAAATCCACAAATATGCAGAACCCTGAGATTTTTTCCTAGAGATTCCTTTGAAATAAGACTGAGTGAAGAGTTTGCCACCTAATTAACTGTTGGGTAGCAGGATAACGTTAATGGGGACAACTCACAGCAGGTTTGTGAACATGAGATTAATTATGGCAATAATTAATGAGACTTTTGGCAGTTACACACATGGAGATGTGACCATCACATACTCCTTTATCAGTGGTTTCTTCTCACAGAAAAAAACCCCTGTGATAAACCCTGCAGAGTCTTTGTCTCTGAGAGTCCTTCTTGAAAGCCTGAGGATGACCCAGGCTCCTCAAACTGAGATGCAGTATGTCTGAGTAGCTGAAGGACTTTACTGCTAGCTTTGCTTTGTTTTGAAATAACTTCTCCAGAAATAATGCTTCCTCCATGATGGCCAGGACTTTGGGACAAACATTTACCTGGACTATACAATTTGTTAGTGGCTACAATTAAAACAAATTCAAATTAAATTTCTCCTTACTGTTTAGGAAGCCAAATATTATTGTTTGTTTTACTGCTGAAATTTTCTTGGTTTTTGAAATAACATCTGTCTAGTACATAAATAATTTGCCTTTTGAATTTTCATACTGTCACAGGAAGACTGCAAAGAGAAGAAATTTAACTATACAGTTAAATATACAGAAGAAATGTTAATGAATTTTAGCTGCAGAAGGGGAAAAATGTGAAGAAGAATGCTAGAGAAAAGTGATCAGGTATCATCTCACACAGTAGGGGGAAAACCAGCTTTTTTTTTTTTTTGCACTGGTTGTGAATGGAAAATAGAAATATACGACATTTTAAAGGTACTACAGCAAAGAAAAACCTTTCTGAGGTGTCGGATGTTGTAATAGTGACATCTGATGCAGACATTTCAGAACTTTTTAATAAGTGCTCTGGAACTTTGTGCCACAGGCTTTCTTCTAATTCCATAGTGAAACCTCAGAACACTAGGGTTACTTTAAGGACAGCTTGGCATCTTCCTGCTGGCTCTGGACTGGTGCAAGGGGGGAGCAGCTGCCATCACCGTGTGGCCAGCACGGTGCTCCAATCCCCACTGGCTGCCCAGGGACCATCCTGCTGTGCAGAACTGCACATCACAGCTCTGTCTGACAGAGGCCCCACGCCTGCTCCTGCCTCATCCCTCCCGCTGGCTGCCCACGCCTGCCACATCCCATTCTTCCATGGCTTTAAAGGACATCTCTCATGGACTCTACATCCCTCACCTGTTTCTGCTCACCTTTCTCTAGGTGTTGTATGCAGAGCTTTGCTCATATTTATGTGTGTGAGGCTGAGGCTGATTATCTTTCTGGGAGATGTGAAAGACATTTTATTATTACTTGCTCAGTGACCTCAGGCAGGCACAGTTAAAGTAGTTGGTGTAGGATGCAGACATTTAATATTCAGGAGCCTGCAATGCACACATGTGACAGCCAATGCAATAAAGCCCATCTCTGAAACATAGCTAATACCTAAAAGAACCTCAGACTATATTATTTTTGGTAGCCAGTTTTTCCTTTCATGGAAAAGAAGAGTGAATTTAGATTTCTTCTAGATGAAGAAAATGTTGTCCATCTTCTGGACTGAAGGGTGGGGATATGGCTGGAAATGAATACAGTAGAATTTCAGACAACTGTTTAGACCCTAATCCCCTGTCCAACCTTATACAGCACTGCCTGAGTAGTTCCTGCTATTTCACATCAATAACAGTTTAAAGACTTTTTTTTTCTCTAATGTTACTAAGAAAAGCAGCTATGAAATGCAGCCAGGAACAAAGTGTGAAATATTCTGTACCAGGTAGGTTCTTCTTGCCATATTAAAATTAATAGTAATAACAATAACATTGCTGACATTAATAAAACCTGAATTTCCAGATTGAATTCCATCAGTTCCCATGAAATACACAATATATCAGGAAATAAAAGACTACAGGAAATACCGTACACACAGGACTGCCAGAATTGAAAAAGGTTTTTAAAAGGGAAAAAGTTTTAAAGAGTATACATTTAAAAAACTCAATAAATAGGTTTTCAACATCTCCCCTGACTGTTAGGCATGCAGTATGCTTTGTGTACTATATGCTTTTAAGAAAATATAAAAAGCTGCAGCTTTGAGTCATTGCTAACATGGCATCCCTACTTTTTAGACAGGGAACAATTATTTTTCTTTTCTTCTGCTACTCAGCTGCAGAAATAATGATGGAATTCTTATACTCTGGGGCTTGTTTCAGACATAACTTTTGTTCAACAAGGAGAAACAAGATAGGATGCCTTATTTTGGGGTAGGCTTTGTTTACAGCTCTAGATTTTGTTCTGTTTTGCAGCTTGGCAGTTTCTAACCTAAATATGCAGCAAATAATTTCTTAAGGGGTGAGTGCAAATGAGTTAAAGGTTCTCTCTCTGCTTCTTCCCTTCAGTCATTTGGAGCTCATAGGCAAGAGGAATTTAAGAAATTAAGAAATTGGGAAATAGATATGTGACTTTATGCATTTTTTATTACATCAAGTCCCTAATGCAATGAGTGAATAGAATAAAAAATGCATGACTTTCCTCTCCCTGCAAATGTAGCACTTTTCCACAGTTATAATGAATGTTATTTGAAGGTATGCTATGCTTTTATCAGCAGCACTACAAGATTTCTCAGCATGCATTTCAAAATAGTTGCATGTAAGTCTTTTCATCATAAACATTATTTTCAGGAACATTTGACGACTGATTCTTGTAAGAAGTGATTTTTCTAAACTTTAAGTTACTCTGCTAATCGTAAAGTATTTGCTTTTCTCACATTTCTGAAATCTCTGTATAAAGGGAAGATTGTAGAACGGGAAGTTTATATTCAGTGCATTATCTATGATGAAACAACATGACCATGAAATGTGCTGTGCTCTTCCCAGTTGGGGATTAATGGTTGTGCGTTCCCAAGTGGGGTTGTGTGCTCCCAACTGGCACCTTTTATATCCTCCACTGTCTAAAATACTGATGTAGTGATTTGCTTGACCCAGACGGACAATCCCACAGGCTGTACGGTAAATGGAGATTCCCCACTCTCACGCTTCTGCCAGGCAGGCCCATTGTGAAGGATTGTGAAGGATGTTATCACCATGCAGGCAGTGTTTCCAATCAGCTCTGCAAACTTCCCTGTTTGCCTTTACAGGATGTGGCCAGGCAGCAGGGATGAAGGTCCTTTCCTGATGGTTTTGGACATGCTGGATAAGGAAGAACATCTTGAAAGGAGGAGGAGGGTTCACTCTTCTCACTTCAAGAGACTTCTGGAGCACAGGAGGGACATGAAAGGCCAAGGCCTGGGCAACGAGGGAGATGGTTGGGCTGGGACAGAGTAGAACCTCCTATGGGAACAGGGAACTTAGCTGCAGCAGGGAGCAAACTTACAGGCTTTGAGCATGACATCCTTGGACATCCAGAAACACCAAGAGTGTTGAGTGTCGTCGTGCAAGCTAATGCATGTTGTTGGAATTTTGCCCTGAATTTGCCTTTTGTTTGTTTTCCTCTGCATATTTCTTTAGTATTGCTTAGAAACTATGTGGGGACATCAAAGAATCCTGCTGACTCCTATGATGTGTTTACCTGCCCTCTGTTCTTCTTTTGAGAGAATCAGTCAAAAATCTGAGACAAAGCAGATATGAATATTCATCCAAGAACTAATTCCTCCCTTGTGCCTGTAGTGATCTCTGGCATCTTATACAGGAAGCACAGGCTTTGAAGTGTAAATAAAATTTAAGTTTACTGACCTAACACTGAGATGGTAAGGCATGGGAGCAGGACTGGAGAGGGAGCAGACAGGAGCTGGGACAGCTGGAGGGCAACTCCTCCTAGTCATGGCTATTCCTACTTTGCCAGTGGAGGCTCCTGCCCTGCACAATTCAGTTACCTGCACACAGTGGCTTGTATGGATTTGTAGCTGCTGGAGGAGGTGATGGAACCAGTAACCTTACAGATATTTTGCTGTTTTGGGGGAAAACCAAAATTACTTGTGCTCTAAATCTGACCCCACTATCTTTGTCTGAACTTCCTTTAGTCTGCAGGGTCAGCTTTGGGAAATGCGTCTATCATGTATTTTTCATTTGAAAGGCTCCATTATCCAGACTTTTCTCCACATACATACATACATTCATGTATATATATATATATATATATATCCTTTTTTCTTTTATTTTGTATTTTTCGTCATATACATGGGTGCCTCCATGACTACTGCATGGATAAAATGGAATAAACAAATACAGAAAGCAGAAATTAAAAAAAAAATCACATTAATCAGATCTGTAGATATGTAAGCTTTTCTGATCCATGGTACTCTTTGCTTGGAAGAAACTGTGTCGTATTACTCTTGCTGCTACCATCCACAACTGCCAGTAGAGCCCAAAGTAATTTACTTTCCATGTTCTAAGTACCAAATTTTTTATGTTAATCTGGAACTTCCTTTTTTTTGCCTGACATGTCTTTTTGCTCTGCCTTTTTGAAAATTTACCATAATGCTCTGTACAAAGTGTTCCTTATCCTTTGGCATTTGTTGTTGGGTTTGACAACCTTGAATTAAGGTGCATGAGCATTGTGCTGAAGAGACCATCAGAAATGTACATTTTTCACCTTTGGTTGTGAAGGAGAATTTTCTATCACAATGGAAAGGAATGCTTACTGCTCTGACACGTGACTGTATGTGCCACAAGAGCTGCACCTCTCCTACTCTCACACACAAAAATCTCATGTGTCTTACCTTGTCCAGACAGGCTGTCTTGGTCGACTTCCTTGAAAGGAGGTTCTGTTGTATCAGTCAGGTCTTGCTTCTTGTCAGCTTCCTTCTCCACCTCTCCAGCAGGCAGGAGAGGGGGTGTGGTGAAACTTCCTGCGGTGGCCAGCTCCACTGGAGACTCATAGCCACTGGTGAGTAAGTCTTTGCCAGCAGAGTCATCTGCTGGGGGAGGCAAATAGGAATCCTCTGATTTTGGAGGACTGCTGGTGCTACCCAGAGCACTGAAAGGCACTGTGAAACTTGGGTGGTCGGTAGCAATAACTTGGGTGTATGGATATCTGTCCTGAAATGGTTCTCTGGAGGGTTTGGTAGGAAAATCAGGTTCAGATGTAATAAAATTATTAAATTCTTCAGGGATACTGATTTCTTCACTTAGAGCAGGGCTTTCAGTTGTAAATTCATCAACAAATACATCTCCTCTTTGATCCACTGTTGCTGGACTGGGATAACCTAGTGGGAGTTCCTCCTAAAAAAGTTTTTAAAAAGCAGCATTCATTGTTATGTTTGAGTTTCATTGCTGAAAAGGCAATAACCTTTAGCTACATGAGTTAGCAAATAGCTAAGTTAACATGGAATCATATTATGGGTTGGGTTGGAAGGGACCTGAGAGCTCATCTAGTCACAATTCCCCCTGCCATGATAAGTGATATCTTCCACTAGACCACATTGCTCAATGCCATATCCAAACTGTCCTGGAACACTGCCAGGGCTGGGGCATCCTTAGCCTCCTCAGGCACCCTGTGCCTGTGTCTCACCATCCTCACAGTAAAGATCATCTACTGCATATCTAACTTAAATTTTCCATCTTTCAGTTTGGAAAAGCATCCTTGTCCTGTTACTAGAGATCCTGACAGGATCTGTCTGACAGAGTCCCTCTCCATCCTCCCTGTAGCCCCCCTTCAGATATAGGAAGGCTGCTACAGAGTCATAGGATGTGTAAAATGTTTGACATGTGCATTTGATCCTAATCACAGTTCCTGTAATTTTAAAAGTGGTCAAAGACAGATGACCTTAACTAGCCCTCTAAACTGCTCTCTTTCTGTCATTAAGATGTACTACTGAACTGATGAGACACTGTTTACTTTGTAATTAAATCTGCAAACCATAATCAAACTGTAATAGTCACTTGTAAATGCTCTAAGCAATATCTCTGTTGCAGTAGACCAACACAACATTCATCCTTACAGAATGTACAAAAAGCACATGTTATTATAGCATAAGAAACTTTTTGTATGTTTATCTACCTCTTAACACTATTTCATTTCTTTTCTCGTGGAGAAATAAATAAACATGAAAAATGTTATTAACCTACCAAATCAGGGCCTGCCAGAGGAATAGTGACCACACCTTGGATATCATTGTCTAAATCACTAGGTGGTATAACAGTTTCTGCAAAGAAAATCAAAAACATTAGCGAGAGAGAGAGATAGCACAGAATACTGCAGCACCAGCACACTGAAAACTGATCAAAACACATAAACTCAGTTAAAAAAAAAACAGTACTAAAATGTTCTCCATCAAAAAATTTTTGGCTTTAGTGCCCAAGTTGCTCCTTTCACCTCTCAGAGATCTTAAAAGTACTTGCATGCAAGCTGTTCTTCTAAAATTGGTTATTAGAATTAACTACTGGGAGAAAGTTGATTAAAATATTTATATTGAGGTATTCTATATAAATTTTTTTCTTGGGACTTTTCCTTTACATTATAATATGACACTTTACCCTTATAGAAAGTACTAGTTCAACTAAATAACTTTTGTTTTGGCAGGAAAATGCCGCTGTTTGCAAATGAAACACTGTAGCTAAAATTAGGTATGGGTTTTGAGGTTGTTTCAGTAAATATGCATATGAAAAAAATATTTCAAATTATTTTTCCCCCTTCTTAGCACATCTCTGCAGAAGTAGTTTGTTAGCTTTGCAAAAATAATTGATGAACTAGAAAGGGATATTTATTAGCTGGATTACTGATCAGGATGCAGACCTTCAGCTTCTGCTGGAGGTTTTCACACACAGCTTGTCTTCTACACTCCCTCTGTGTTTCAGAGTATGAGTGAAACACATCTTTACTGATTTTATCTTTGGATCAAATGCTGTTTAAGGTGTCAATCTCTCTGATGTTTCTGAGAGGTTAGACGGATTGTTTACAACCAAGATAGAGCTTTCAGAAAGCTAATCTGATGTTAGAGGCAGATCTCACTTTTTTTCCTTGTTAAAGAAAGGAGAGTGTCCATACTGGAGGTTAAAATGATACAGTGAATACTTGCAGTATTTATTTTATTTTTCTTCTCTTAATGATCTTAGTGCTTGAAAACTAAAAAAACAAGAAAAAAATCTTCTAATATGGTTGCAAGTTAGGCTGTATAAAGGCACATTTTATTATAAAATTTAACTTATTTCAACACCAAGGAGAATGGATTATGTCAGATGAAAATAATTTGTTAGAGAAGCAAAGGACGCCTTATTAAAATTGCATCAGTTTGGAAAGACAAGATTCAGGCTTGTGCCTGGCACCTGCCACCTGCTTTACTGACCATCAGTGAACTGAAGTGTTCCAAGGTCCACTGGCAGGGACTGGTCTTCATGGAGTGCAGTGGCAACCAGCTGCTGAAGGTCTGTTACTGTCAGTTTAGTTGCTGATATTTCCCTCTCTTCAACTGGAGAAATTGGTATTTTTTCACTTTCAACCTTGTTCGATCCAATAGTTGAGACGTCATCTGCTGTGCCTTTGGTTTCTGAGCCATCTCTCTCAAAGTTCACCACGTATCGAGCTATTGTGCTGCTTGATCTGCAAGGGGGAAAGGTGAAAATGCCCAGAGCAGAAAAATCAATCACTGGCTGAGAAATGATTTTACACACAAACAAACAAATGTGCAACCATAACATATTATCTTCTGTAAGAGTAATGCAAATTTACTTCTTTCTAATGAGACTGTCACCTTCAAATTAATTTTCATTCACCTAACTACCTTTTTTTCCATGAATAATTTCTAATAAAAATTCCCACATTGAAGATAATTGCAAAAATCTTCTAACGTAATCTGATTTAATCTGACTACTCAGAATCTGTAGAACTGGTAACTGGTAATGTAGTCTGAAGTCCTTGACTACTGATTCAAACAGCTATAAAGGCATGCTGGAGTTATTAGAACCCATAATCACACATTAATTATTCAGGAACCTATGAAAAGAGATTAGATAGTGCATAAAACTGCAGATAAGCAAAAATCTTATCACAAGAGACAATTTTTTTGCTCTTTTTCAAAGAACAGCAAGCTAATGTGGCAAGCAAATCACTTTTTCACAATGGGAGTTAGCTTTTCAGAGTCCCAGTGGGTGTGTATGGCTTCTTCCTAGACATTAATGTTTAACAGAAGTCTCAAATATTTACCACTTTTAATACATCATTTTCTATACACGTTAAATTCACCTAATTAAATGAAAAATAGTGAGTTCATTGTAAACATTTCTATTCCACTATGTTACTTTTTTTAGAATGTCAAATAACTATAGACATAAGAATTTAACTTTTATCTAGTGTGTGCTATATATTTGCATTTATATGACATTGCAAGAATTCAGGAAACCTATTAGAAAATTCTGCCTTTTAAAGCATGAACAAAGAGAAATTCTGGGAAACTGCTAGACAAATTATTCCCCAGTAGCACTTTATGGCAGCAACAACAATGGATTTTGTAGCTGTTTGTATTACCGGTGAAAATCTCCCTGCATTTTATCAAGCTAGTAACTGGTCTCTTTGCTATTCTATCTGGCTTGATAATAGAGATAACAAATCAAATTCTACATACTTACTGGAAATATTGTGTACATGGGAATACAGCTAGGAAACAGCATATCAAAAATGAAAATTTGTATATAAAGGTTCCCTACTTATTTTTCACTTTCAGTATATGGCTGATATAAATCTTTAGTCATATAAATGTGAATTTTCTTAGGTCAAACATTTTCTTTTCTTCAGAGACATCCTGATAAAATTTGATTCTATGAAACATTCCGATTGAAGTTAAAGGTGTCCCTGACACTTTATATCACAGATTTTGTACTTAGGCAGAACACAGCCAATTCACTTTGTCACATCAAGATAATGGCATTTACAGATTTATCTATGTACATCATAAAATTATTATTATTAATAATTATTATAATTAATCTATAAATTATTAATGATAGAAAGATTACCCATCTTTCTCCTTCTTCTGTCTTCATATCATCACAGAATAAAGAATGTGAGAAAGGATTGCAAAAGAAAGAAAAACAAGGATTCATGTTTACTGGTAAATCACAACAATATTTTGACAATTTATCTTATCTTCTATGTGGCATCTATAATTTTTATCTCTGTGTGAAACTGACAATCTACTCTCCATCAGTTCACTTTTTCCCTTCCAAACAATGGGAATCGCTGTGGTTTGCAAGGGGAAACAGGAATTTTACTTTACCATGGCAGTCTGAAATATCAGCTTTCCTATTTCTGTCATCAAATGGTGCAGTTTGAGCCTTGTCATTGCTAATCTCTGTGGTGGCAATGGGCACTTGTGGCAGTACTTTCCATGATCAGTTACCACCCATGATGTCTACTCAGACTGTAGTCACAGGGGTAACTTGAAGCATTAATTACCTCTGGAAGACATGCCTGTGTTGACCTTCTACATATAATGCCCAGTTTTTTCCCTGGTGAGTTCTCCAGAATACCTATGATGTTGTCTTCATTGCCTTGTGGGAAATGCTGCTAAAATACGTAGCACTATAGCCAAGGGAGAATGGACAGCAACACCCATCTTTGCTGAACTGTAACTCCCTAAGCTTCCTAAATTACTGGATAATGGGAATCAATCAAATTTTTCCACACTGATGAATGTTCTTTCATACCAGCAAAGTCCAAGGTATGAAACCAAAATGGATCCCAGACCTTCTGGAATCACAACTAAACAAGGTTAGATATTGCAAGTTGTAACTATGACATGCTACTACATATTTTCTCTGCTTGTACCGTAGTAGGCACCATTTTGTTTTATTATTTTTATATAAAAAACCAAGGAACTAATTTTCAGACTATTTTGCTCTTCTCTCTCCTTCTTCCCAGTAATTTTTGCAGAGAGAAATGCTAAGAAGAAGGATGTTCTTGTCTAAAATTGCATTGCAATATGAGTGTTTGTCAACATTTATTAAATATTGCTAGAAGTACTGAGTGTTCCTGATGCTGTGCGATAAGACCACATAAAGTTGTTTTCTTTCTCTGTTTTTTTTTCCCTTTTGCAGTTTCTTGCTATTAGTTATTTGTTTTTCATTTGATTCTTTGTGCAATGTCCTCCCCTCCCCTATAGATTCTCTATTGAAAAGGTACACAAGAGGTTGTGTTAGTAGTAAGCACACAAGGAAGCTAAAACTAAAAGAAATGGCAAGACAGAGCACAAATTTAATGAAAAAGTGAAACTTTTAAAATTGTTTGAAAGGCCTGAGAAAGAACGACTGGAAAAGTTTTATATGTATGAACACGTATCCTCCTGCAACCCTCTATTGCCAAGGCACCTTCATTGGGACTTATGAAGGGCAACAAAAAAGTTGTCACCTAAATAATCACGCTACTAACTCTCTTTATCTTGTCATTTAAAAAATTTCTTAATACAGGGTTGTTAAAAAACAATTAAAAGAATTTATTGTGTCCTTCAAGCTTCAGAGAATCAAAGCTATTTTTGCTAATTCAAAACCTCATATTTTTACTTGGGATGTATCTGCACTTCCTGTCATATTGTCCCTATGATATTCCCATGAAATTTCTTTCTGTTTACAGCAATATGCACCCCACTGTTCTACAACTCTCTTCCTTTTTGAGGACCAGAAGGAAGAGGAGAACCCTAGGACCCAACAAAAAGGAGAGCCCCGTTTTCTTACTTACTTGAATCCTAACACGCGTATTTCTTTGAATCCTGGAAGTTTCTCAAATATTTTTTTCATCTATAGAAAACCACAAAAACATATCAGCATAAGATCACAAGTTGACTACCTAGACACTATTTTTCATATTTCAGAAAGAGCTTTAGGAAACAGTCTCGACTGTGCTCTTTTGGGGATCATAATTGCTCAGCTTAAACACAATATTTTCTTTGTATATACTTTTTGTATTACCTGTTAATAGGCAAGAAGAAGCACAAAATATTGCTTTTCTTAGTAATGTAATTATGCAAACAAGTGATAATCTATTTCATAACACAGCAAGTAAAACAACATTAATCAAATGTTTTTCTCATTTTCAGCAGTTTTGATTAATGAATAATTTTGTGATTCAAGTCACCTGTAAATTGTTAATTATTTAGAAATATTAAGCAACTGCAAATGGGTTTAGATTATCTGACAAATCATTTAGAAATTAAACAGTTTTAACTGTCTTGTACAAACAGAATAACATTTTAAATTCTAATGTTAATAATAGTACAATTACATGGTTTTGAATAGAAGAGGCATTACATGTGTACTATACAATGTCTGCAGGCACTTCTGTCTGAGGGTAATACTGAAAATCTTCAGAGAAAACATTCTTTGACAGCTCTGCCAATGCATCCTTCACCATTTTTCTACACATATCTGGAACTGAACCAGGAAAATGTAATATCTTCCACTAAGGAATGCACGTGAAACTGATGAGAGGCTTTAGTTAATTTTACTAAGAAAACCTTTTGGGAACCTCAAGTCATTAACCTCAAGTCATTAGTGAACATTCAGTAAATATTATTAACTGTATGAAAATAAGAGAGATGTTCCAGTTCTTACGTAAACCACAGTAATGCGCAATGAGTGTATGTCCTTTGAAGAATAGTTCAGACAACAGTAGCTAATTACTTTTAACATTTATATTACATTTCTCATTAGATTTATTGTAGAAATTAAATTATGACAAAGTGCTGCCCACGAATTCCTGATTAAGTCTGAACAAAATTCCTAAAGTTATTCTGTTCATCCATGATCTGAGGTTTCTACTGGTGTCAAAGACGTTGGCTTGTCAGCTTGTCAGCTGGCTGAATAGATCCTTAAATGAGGGGATAAGCTGATACTACACATGAAGGAAACATGGAGGTCTTGAGAAAAAAGGAATGACCTGTTTAAAGTGAGGGCAGTAGATTCTAATCCTATTTTGTGGTGAAGATAATGTCATAGTATGAATCTCAGCCAAGGTACAAAGTCAGCATTTTTTTGCATTCACTATGCGTCCCTACCTGTAGCTGAAATTTAGCAGCTAGTTGTTGGTACTCTGGGGAGTTGGGGTCACTAAGTTCAGCTGTGTACTCCTGATCAGTGAGAGTCACACTGAATTCCACCATTTGCTCCACAGGCAGTTCAGGGACTGCATTTGTTCCCAGCTCCTGGAAAAGAAAAGGAAAGGACAAAAAGGGTAAAAATAAAACTAAGCGATTTTCCCCCTCCACAATTCAGTATTTAATAGAAAGAAATTTCCTGTTTAAACCCATTTCCAAAATAACTTTCTGAACTACATTCCACAAAAGGTGAAAGTTTCTAGGTATATGTGTTGGCTTAATTCTTCTGTATTTGCAAGCAAGTTTCTATTACTTGAGAGGTAGCTTGAAAGTTGCCTTTGACATGCATAAATGAGACAAAGCCTTTCTTGTGAAGAGAAAATCAAGCCCTTCTTGCAGAGACTGTTACCAAGTCTTAGTTCCACCATCCTAAAGTCACACAGCTGTTTCATGTTCAGAGGTTTGTATTTGTTGTTTTGCTGATAATAAAATGAAATTATCCTTACCCATGATACACCTTTCTTACTCAGTTGACTTTGCTGCTATTAAAAGTTGTTGTATTTTGTTTGCTATTTCCCAACAGTATTTGTGGCTTTTCCCTCCACTGTGAGGCCACATGTCTGTGCTGAGACCACTGCAGCCAGGACAGGGAAAACAGCAGCCCCATCCTTTCTCAGGGGTGTTAGTGGGCAGAGGGGCAGTCCCAGTGCCCTGCTGCATGGCTGCTCTCAGGAGACAGCAGTGGAGAACCCTCTGACAGATGGCTGGGCAGAAAAAGGCAAGGAAGGCCCAGCCCTATTTCCTAGGTTGTGGAAAGCACAGCAGGTATTCTTTTTTGGCATTACTTAATGAAAAGCAACTTTACAAAATAGTGCAAAATAGGGAACAGGCCCCTACTTAAAATAATGAAACCTGCCCAAAAACACGTTGCCATGTTTTGTGCTTTCTACTACATACTCAAACAGCATCATACCCTACTCCAGCATAGAACAGATGCTATAAAACCCCTTCAGTCCTGCTAGCTGAAACAGAGAGGAGCACTTGTTGCTTTTAAGCACTGTCTATAAGGTTTCGCCCTCTTTCCTGTTAGCTGAGCTGAAAAGGAAAAGGTGAGTGAAAAAGTGGGTAGGAACACAGGCTGCCCTCACCTTCACAGGAGTCTTTGTGTCATTGAAAATCTCATTGAGCAATGTGCTGTTAGGTGCAGACGGAGAGATGGGTGTGCCAGGAGAGCCTGCGGGGTGGGGGAAAGAAAGAAAAGTCAGGAAAGAATGGCTTGCACATCAAAAGTCTTCCCCTTTGTGTGTTTGTCAGGGATCAGCTCACTGGAACAGCTTTCCCTGAGGAGGGTGTGCTTGAGCACAAGCCTGTGCCAGTGGAAGGCGGCCATGACATAGGGTGTGGGTAAATCTCCTGCAGTTTATACAATAAACAAGCTTTCCTCCAGGTCAAACATTAGTGGTGTGGCATGTGTGTGACTGAAGGCAAAAATGGCACTGACTGCATCAATGTAATTGTGTGAGTTAATAATATTTGGTCATTTCCTGTCATGCCACATCATATGTCACCAAGTGTCTAGGCTTAATTTTGCCAATTGAGATCTTTGTCCCTATGACAGCCACGTTTCTCTAGGGCTCAATTTAAAATAACAAGAGATGTTGACAGAGTTTTCCACCTAGAGGCCAAATTACCATGCTGGAAGTCCTTCCCAATAAAATTCTGTAATATTTCTTAAGAATATATGTTCAGGATGGTTTCTCCTTGAACCAAAATTATGATATTTACAGATTTTTGTCACTGTGTGAATTGCTAACATTATTTTAAAGATTTGAAGTACACAACAGGCCTAATTGTAATAATTGGATCAATTTATTGTCTTGGCATCACTCTGACTCTCTTGCTTGTCAGTCTTTATTTGCCTTGCTTGCTTATTTTGGTTAACAAAATGCAGCAGTTGACATTCTAAATGGTATTTTTTAGCTGAAGAAAGATTGACACTATATTATATGTTTGAAACTAGGTAAACACATACATTTGAAGACAAACTTTGAATGCAACATTTGAGCAGCAAATAAAGAGATAAAAAAAATATTCTCAGAGATTATTTTGCTTAAACATTTTCTTTCCACTGAACTTGTCATGCTTCAACAACATTTGTTAAATTATAGCCTTCTAAGACCTTCTAAGAATCATTTACCTTAGCAATTTTATTTAACAGGCAGACACAGAACAAGCAGATTTCATTTTACCTGTAGAAATGGAGGGAATGTCTTCCACCTTTTTGCCTCCTGTTTTCTCTGCTGATATTTCATCTTTCCTAGCAATCCAATAGAAATGAGTGATTTAATTATCTGCATATTGTACCGTCAATGACAGAAGTGTAAAAAATCCAAAAACATATAGAAATGATTCCTATATTAAGTGTAGTTTAAATGAGAGAAGTTATCACATTTTGTGACCTGATTAAACAGGCAGTAGAACAGCATAAGGACTCCCAATCCTGTCATGAATCTGCTCATGAGGTTTTGTGACAGATTTTATCAATGCCACCAGAGGGATGGGATCACAGAGATTAAATCAGTGCATTGGGTCTATTTTTTTGGTTTTACTCTTGGAAATCTTTGAAGGGTTGATCACTGTCTAAAACAGAAGCAAAGCTTCTTGTACATCATCTATATCAACCTTTGTCTTCTTTAAGGTAGTTCAGTGAGTGCTTTGCAATTCTTCTAATTTTAGAGCCAATGGACATTTCAGGTTCCAGGTGTGTTTCATATGGTGTGGTGTGAGAAAAATAGTGGGTGGGCTTATTTTTCAGTTGTCAGCCTGCATAATTATAGTATCAAATCAGATTCCTGAATCCAGATTACTTTGAGATATAGGAATGTTAGTGTTTGCTTCTGGATGTAATACTCATAGGTTAATGTGTACCATGATCCCAAAGGAGGACAGCTAAAAACTCTAGCAAGAATATAGTGGGTATGATGTATCACAGGATTTGATTTGGTTTTGTTGATAATTATTTTCTGGTTTGAATTTTACAGTCACATGGTGATGAATATATTTTTAATAGCTACTGTTAGCTTGCTTGAAAAACAGAAATAGTATCTAAGTACATAAAATAGATGTATTAAATATTCTTTTACTTAGAATACAAATTATTCTAGATCCTTAAAAACCAAATTGTTATATAATTTGTAGCTTTGGGGAAAATTTAGGTTCTTAGAATAGAAACTTTTAAGGGATATTTTGAGATTTTTCTCTCCTGAAATTAGGGAGTAAAGTATAATTCCTCAAAATTTCTATAGTGCATACAGATTTGTATGCACTATAGAAATTTGTATTGTGAGTATTTGTGAAATTTGCATTATGAGTATTTGTGAAAACTGGTATGAATGAAAGAAATAAGGGCACTGCAAATGTGTGGTGTGGTGTTAACTGAGACAGCATAAAGCTTCTAGCATAGACAGAAAAGGTGTCCTGAGCTACAGGAACAACACAGATGTTTCATAACATAAATAAAGAACATGAATGAATGACAACTGATTTACCACCTCCTCTGGATACCTTGTGTAATGAGAACTAAAGTATTATTTGTAATGTTTTCACAATGTTAACAAGTTATGTGTTGTATCTATACTTGGAGACTGATTTCTCTACATGAAATCCACAGAAGAGACAAAATATTTTCTAGGCCACACAGTAGCAAAGATGAAGCCCAACCATGCATAATCATTGCTGTCTGTATTTCCAGCTAAATACAAGAAATTTCATGGAAATTCACCTTCAGTATTATGTCTGGGGAAAACAGTACTGTTCACAGAGAACCTAAGATCTCTGAGATCAGTCACTTCATGCCTTGCTGCTGCTGCTTGCACTAGGATGAATGAAAAGGCCTCCCTTTGGACTTCCAGGGCCCTACATTATTAAAAATATGTCAGATCTCCCATGTCAGAATGAACTAAGATACATAGGACCTCTGTGATCTGGAGACAGTGTTACCTATGAATGGAAAAGATTATTTGCGTGAAAATCTCTTGAAAATCAGAGAAAACTTGAAGGATAAAGCCATTAATCAGTAATCGTGGATAATGATTGTCTGTCTGCACTGTAGATATATACAGAGAACCAGAGTTCAGAATGGCAGTTTTAATCCTGCCATTCTCCAATTTCTGAGTGTTGCCAGGAGCACACTTTTTCCAAAGAGTTTACAGAACAAAGTATCACATTAATTAATACTGCCATGATGTATAAAATACAGGAGAAATCTTAAGTGAAGACACAGAGTTTTCATGCAATTGTTTAAAGTAACCTCTCAGCTAAACTTTTATTAAGCTGACTTTCCTTTTGAGAATTACAGCAAGTTTTGTCACACTCCCAGTCAACACCAGCCTAATGCCAAGCCATGTCTCTGTCAGTGTTTCATGCTCACATTAGTCTGAGAAAACATTCAGTCTTGAAATGAACAGGTAGCTCAGACATTTGACCATATCCATTATTTGTAATTCAATTACTATGTCCTATGATATATCCAGTATAAACATCTCTCACAGCACACACCAAATACGCCACAGTGCTATCTGAATATCTGCTCACATCCACACACATCTACACATATCTTTACAAAGAAGGCAAGTAACATCAAGTGGCAAGGTTCTACTTGTGCTACTTACCTTTCCTGGAAGGTTCTATGTTTTACTCGCTGCAAAAAGATTAAGAAAAACAGCATTTTACTAGTGGGTGTATCCAACAATTGAGCCTGTTAGCTCTTTTGTTTACTATACTTTTATGTTTTCCTTCTAAGACATGCCCCTCCTTTTCCTGAGCAATACTTTGCCCTTAAATAAGCAGGTGGGGAGGGACTTGAAAGTCTTTCCCAGCTTCTAAACAAATATCAGTAATCCTTACCCGCTGAATTATTTCCAGATGCTCTTGGGAATTGCTGAAGTTTTTACCAATGTCAAATATGCAAAAGGTTTCTCTCTGGCAGGCGGTAACCCAGTTCTGATATTCAGAAGTATCAGGAATCCGATCCAGAAAAATACGAAAGGCTTCCCACACAGCTTCCTGGCAGACTGAGTAAGAAGAAAGGGGCTGGGGATAGATGCTTTGTACCAAATGGTAAACTTGAAAGCCTTTTAACAGTGATTTGGCATTTACAAATTCATGACACAAGATGAAGGAACACACTTCAAAATGTTGCTTAAAAATCCTTTTAGAGAAGGGTATTTTCAAACTTATTAGAAAAACTATTTTAAGCAAAACTTGCTGGTAATTTAAAAGCTGTTGCCTTTAGCACTTTACTTTGCAAAGCTCATTACTGTGAGATGGGACATTTATTTTCAGTACTTGATACCTGCTTTGGCTTAGAGTGAGTTCATTATCTGCATTATCTAAAATATGGGTGTCTCTGAGATTAGTGCAGTAAGTATACTCTAAACTTGCTGTAGGGATGTACTCACCTAGCTGTGTTAGGACCCCTCAAAAATACCTCAGGAACGACCTGCCCTCCCAGTAGAGCAGCTGCATGTGGAGCAGATGTGGTCAGGTTATTAAAAAGGAACAGGCTATCTTTTGAAAAGATTTATTTATTATGAGCTAGCAATTAAAGCTACTTTCTATTGCCTCCTTTTGCTTGTAACTCTCTGGTATTTGTTTTTCTGAGCAGTTACTGCTGAATAAAGAAATACCATCTGATGATAAGTAATCCAGTTATCAGATAAATGTAACACATGACCAGTTGAGGCATTGTAGCGTGTTCTCCCAGTTTGCCCCACGTAAGGGACTGTCCTCATGGTGACCCAAGCTATGTTGTGTTACTTCAGAGTTGGTGTAAGGTCACAGGAGGCTGAAGTGTCCAACAAGTGTCTGAGCTCCTACATCTGAGCTGTTTTGTGTTGTGTGCTCATCTCTGGAAGCAGGGAATACACATATATGTAAAAAAGAATAAAATTGTCTCAATTTTCTTAGCAGAAAAATTCTTTAGATGATTGATATGATCCACAGTGCTTTTTCAGTTACAAATGTGTCATGGGACTTGAAGGTGGGGAGGTCATCTCCTAAGCTTTAGACACAGAAAAGAACCTGAAAGTGTATATGCAAAACAAAATGAAGGTAAGATTGTCCCACAGATGGGTACAAGTTCTCAGGCTCCAGCATGGCTACCAGATTGCTTTTACATGGAGGATTGTACTGTGGTTACAGATTCAAGGATGATTCTTGTATCACCACATTTTCAAGTGTACCTCTTTTCTGCTTACATTCATCAGTTTTGTCAGATAAATTATCATGCTCAACTGGGAGGGCAGAAGTCTTTACCAGAAGTTCTGGTCTTTCCTTGAAGGAAAAAATTTTTGAGGTTTTGATGAAAGACATTGTAATGGAAAATATACAATTGTTCAAGGGAGCAGAAACACCTTATGAATGAGTGTACAAATTATTCAGCTGCAGAGTGTGTTTTGTTGCTTTCTTTTTGGGAAATACTCCAGTTTCAGTTGAAGAACTGGATGACGCCTGCTTCAAAAATTTTGTGAGTGTAGGACACTGCTGGGGAAAAAGAATATTTAAGTTTAAACCTTCTTGCACTACAAGACTTCTAGAGTCCAATATCCCAGCTGATGTGCTGCTCTCCAAAAAGCTGGTAGTACTGTTTTTTAAATCAGTTTTTTAAATGAAAGGGCCATAGTTATAGTTTTTCGAGTTCAGGTTAATGATCCCTGCCTGTTTCAGGATAGCTTGTTTTCAGCCCAATCGGAGATGTAAACAGGAAATTTCAGGGACTTTGAGGATTAATTTCTATTTAAGAAATGCTTTTTGGATCAGCCTTTGTGACACATTTCAGTTTTCTGTCTAATGTCCATTGGATGCTACAATGGATATCAAATAATTTTAGATCTATAGGAATATCCACAGACATCAGTGTAGCTCTCCTATGCTGCCTATAGCAAGTGGTTGCTGGAGTAAAATTTTTGCAGCTCCACATCCCGGTATAATTTCAATGGGAAATTTAAACTGGTTCCCCAAAAGAGAGCTGAGGAGCAGCCAGGTTACACATATTAATGTGAATGGATGGTGTCTAAAGATATAAAAATAGATAAGGAAAGGTGATTCAGGGAGTAGATAGTGCCTTAGATACTTGTATCCCAGAAATGCTGATTAGGTTTTAGAATCAGCTTTGGATCCTCCAGCTGCAGTGGAAATACACACATTTTTGAATACAAAATCAAACAGCAACAGGATAAAAGCCTGGGAGGGGTAGATGAAGGAAGAGAGAAAACTGGACCAAAAATTGGAATGGTACTTCCCTTGCAGGTAAGGGAAGTAAAAAAAAAGCTGGGAAGTGACTGACCTGGTTGAGAAAGTCTTGTTTTTAAAATGTCTCAAATATTTTTTCTTTCCTAAGCTTTTTTCATTACTTGCTAGCAATTATCTCAGTGTTTATTGTATACCAACACTGCCATAGACTTTTTATAACTACAGATACACCAAAACAATTGTTCAGTGACCATTTAAAAATTCAAGTACTTGTCTTAAACTGGGGCTATTGACTTTGCATAGCAATGATGGTACCTGCTCTTTTGAGAAAGGTGGTACTTCTTTCAACATTAATGCAAGCACAATTTGTTCTTCATTTTCAGCCATGCTAGAACACTGTGCAGTTACTCTGAGTTCATTAGTCCTTTAATTGCATTGTCTTATTTTCTTCTGGTAACTGTCTATCTTGAACCCTGCTGATGCACATGTAACATTTGATTATCTATGTAAAAATAAAGCATAAAGTTTATCACATGCACTTCCTAAAGGTGAAGAACAAGATAGATTCTGGAAAATTACTGTGTTTCCTCAGTTAAAGGGAAGACTTTGAAGGAGGAAGTACATACTACGATAATCATCTTACCTCTTAATCTATAGTAAGCTTGGTGACTGGCTAAAATCTGCTTCACTGATTCTTGTGGGCAAACTTTCACACCAGTTGAGAAAAAGGATGACCTCTTTGTTCGGTGTTTTGCCATGTCAAATATCCGCCTTATGGTTGATATCCTGGACCGCTTTGTTGTTCTTTCTGTTTTGTCTGACCCTGAGGTGACTGCAAGATGTTTGGCTTCAGCACGGTTAATTTTATCAGGAATTTCTGTAAAAAAATAAAAACCAAGAAAGTACATAAACATACGTTGCCTAGGCAGTAGGTATTCGATGCAGGTTCATGTCTTGAAAATGGAAGTGAACTTGAGAATTCTTTTTGTTACATTATAGCAGAGTCAATGCACTGATTGAATGATTGTGCTGAGGAGGAGCAGCCTCTGACCACTCAGGGGAACTGCAGCTCAAGTGACTTAGTAACTCATTTCCTTGTATGTCAACATGTGACCCCAGGACACACAGGGTAAAAGTTTCAGAAGCTCTAAATCCTGTTTTCAAAAGTGATTTGGATTAGATCCACAAAAGACACTTAAGTGCTTGAACTTTGTGCTACAGCATCTCATTTGTGAGCATATCGCCCTGTAGGGAAATTTACAGTACAGTGATAAGTAATGTCTACACTAGCAGATAAGTAAAATGAGAAATTGTTGTACCTTAAGTCTTTAAAACCTTATCTTTCCTTTGGGCTTCAAGGGACATCTCCCTTCAAATCAGGTTCATAACCTTGAAGCTACCCCAAGAACTAGACCCTGAAACTTTCAGAAGTTGAACAGGAGTTTTATTGTCTTTGGGTAAAGAAAGACCTGTTTCTAGTCTCTCTTTTAGTCCACAGTGCACTTCTCTATCTTTCCCTCACATAAATTGAAGTATTAACCAGAACAGACTTTGATTGTTTCTTTGCAACTGGATGATAAGTGTTGTGAATTCTCTGGCATCATATTTTAATAAACATTTAAATGTTTCTGGCAAAGTGAAACAGTTACAGTAGGAAAAAAAATGAAATCAGTGGCTAAGAATTGAAGACCTAGGATTCAATTTTACATATGAAGCTATTCAGTTATGAAAAATGGAAAAGCTTCTAGGCTGTCAAGATAACCTCAAGCATAGGAATCCCCGTCACAAAAATTCAGGACTCATCTGGTTCCACTTCCTAAGTATTTGTGTTGCAGTGTTACATGCAAAATTAATAGCAGCTAAATTTTATGTGAAAAAGTTAATGTTTAAGATAGTGTATAAATGACAGATTCAAATGAGCTGAAATACAGCTTTTTGCAAGATCATGTGACAGAAGCAATGAGTATCTTTTTGTTATCTTCCAAAATTTTGTATACATTTTAATAAAGAAGTTAAAGTAAATTTGGAAACACCCTTTTTTGGTTGTAATTTGACATAATGGTTACAGATGAAAAGTAAATAAAAATATTAGCGGAATAGAAAGCTTTAAGAAAGGTATGTGTGTTCCTGAATCCTGATGAATCAAGTGAAAAATTATTTGATTCATTTCAAAACAATTCAAGATTGTTTTAAAGCTTCTAGTGGAAGAATAAGGGGAAATAATAGGGTTATAAAGGAGTAAGTTCAGTAGGAGTAGCACTATCAAGAAAAGTAAAAGCAAAAAATTATCCATTTGCTGGAGAAAGAGGTGTCATGCTACATATAACAAACACTAATTATCCTATTCTTAGACAAATCAAGAGAAAATAAGGGAGGTTAAAAACACATTATCTTGACACTTTGGAGTAGTGTTAATTAAATGTTTAAAGAAAATTGGGGAGATAAATGATGAGAGAAAAATAATTGAAAAACATATTTTTATAAAAAGAACAGTATATAAAATGAAGAATGGGGAACGTTCTGCTATGTGTGTCAGTAGACATATATATGAGACATATATATGTCTCAATTCTTATTTAATTCCAAAGGAACATTCATTGCTCACTGTTCATCATTGTGTAGAAATCATAGTAGTAACATCTATATTTTGAGATAGGTGCTACTCTGATATGGAAAAAAGTCAACTGCTTGCTTGTGATGGGTATTCCCTGAAAGGAAGGAAGTTATAAAACAAAGGCAATAGGTCATTGTTATTACTTTTTAATGCATGCCAGGAACAGTGACCTGCAGACCTAGAACAGCCTAATTGTTGCAAGGTAATTTAAAGTGATGATGCAGTCATACAATGTTTGATATGAAATGAAATGGAAGTAATTTTTCGATATTAATGTCAGGTCATGAACCATAAACTGCATAAAAGGAATTTCCCGTGTGGAAACACATTGTTGGCTTCAACAGAATCCCCAAGTGGCCAAACACTGAGTCAGCTGAGAGACAGAGTTATTTGAAAGTTATATTCAAATAACTGAAGTTTTCTAGAAGAGAAAATCAAAATCCCCATGGAAAATAGCAAGTTGTAAGTAAGTCTGTTACCTTTCACAAGGTTTATTAACTGAGATAGACCAGCTGCCCAGGCAGACCGACCAACTGGGGCAGAGGATTTTGTCCCTAAGCTCTTTGATAGCTTTTGTATGGAGCAGAGGCCTTTCTTGAAGGATTTGCTTCTTCCCCAGGATTTATCTCTAAGTCTTTAACTTGAATTACTAATTATACTATTCATAAAACTGACAAAGGAGATTCTTCTCAAATGATTGTTGCAATGATTTCAAAGTCTCTGTGTTAGGGCTTTTCATTCTGAGAAGTGGCCAGTTGTTTTCTGCTTTCAGTTTGCACTTTTCTGCCACCCTATTTAGAGTAGTTATAAATTTTTAAAATTATTTTTCTTTTCATTCTTTTTCTTCAATTTTTTTTCTTTTTTTTTGGGGGGGAGGATCTGTTTCTAAAGTATATCTATTGCAATAGGTTTAATTTAGTTTATATCTTTTAATATCTTGTGGTTAGTAAATTTCTCTTACTAGAATAACTTTTATTATCATAATTCTTTAAAATCACTTTTTTACTAAAACAAAATTTGAATTGGAGAAAGCATCAGCCTTTCTCTCCACATGATTGTCCAGTATGAATTTCCTAATATTTACTGGTTGTAAATGGATAAAAACTTGCCTTCTGCTTATAAACATTTCCTCATAATTCTTCAGATCTGTATTTTCCACTGTGACTGGAGAAATTCTAAAGAATTTTTACCTAAGCTTCACTGGTGTTTCAGCCATAAACTTTACTAAAATATGCCTCCATCTATGCCTTTTTAGATGCTTTGATTTCAGTGTCCTGTGTTGAAAAAAAATCAAAAATACATATGCTAATATGAAGTTGAATCCATAGATATTAGTTGATCCCTTTTCTTTTTTACTATGCAACATAGTAACTGAATACACTGGAGTGATGCAAATTTTACAGGTGCATCATTTGATCATGTAAATAATCCAAAAACCACTAGGTTGGTTAACTTTTCTTAAAATAAATAACATCTGTAATTTTTTTCTATTTTTTTTTTATACAAGCACATGCAAATAAAATATTCAGAGTTTGCCACAAATATACACTGCCCAATTTGACTTTTTATTATTTAACCCTGTTGTTTCACAGAGGTTACTGTCTCAGTTTTACTTTTAAAAGGTATGTTTAAGATTTTTGGCTTTCTTTGATAGTTCTAGGGCAGAAGGACAATAACTTTATAAGTCTGATAATGCTTTACTCTACTTCAGCTAATCTCTAATATGCCTTAAACAAAGTCTAACTTTACTTTATTCTCATATGAAAGAATCTACATCATGTCCAAATTATTCAGGTGACATACTTACAGAAAAATACTGAGGTAGTTTTACCAAGGTTATCTACAGATTCACTGTCATCTGTTATTAAATTGTGGAGTTCCTGACATCTAGTCCTGAACTTTGACAAAAATAACTAAATATTTTCAAGACATCATAAAGCAATTTTCCAAATATGATACAGCAATCTAATTCATATGGGATCTAATCAAAGTGCTTTGGTAACCATATACCAATCTCTCAAGTGCATAGTACTGCTCTTCAGGTTTTGGTTTCAGGCAGATAAGTGGTATTTGTTTCACATATTAAAAAATTAAATTCTTGAAATTAGGCCAGGCCTTTCCTCTGTGTCTCTTGAGACCTGCATTATCAAATTTACACCCTAACTAAAACAACAAGACAGGAGAAGCAGATTTCAAAAGTTCCTATATGTTCTTAATAATCTTCATGTCAAAAAAGGAAAAGTACATTACTATTGAAATGGATTCTAGAGAAAAAGAGTTTAAAGTTATAATTGGTCAGATAATTGGTCAGCTTTGGGTTTTTTTAAAAATTTGCTTTTTTAAACATAGGACCAAGAGGGTCTTATTCATACCTTTTTGTGGAAATAGAGTAGATGCCTCTCTATGTAGCTTTATTAATTTCTCTCTGTTAATAGTGCTAGATTTAGAAGGCCTCAAATTTTGGAGTTGGTAGTTGGAGTTGGAGTTGAAAAATTGCATTTTTCAGCAATGTAGATGACCTCTGGGTAGGAACATTTATATACAGCATTATTTTTCAGGTAAACATTTTTTTTTTTTAACTGAGAAAATTTAGATGCCATTGAATAGAAAAAGAATCAAAAATATGTTAGCTAAAGATTTGCCAGCAAAATTCAAGGTGACAAAATTGTTGCAGTCTGAATAATTCATCATTAAAATCATCAAAAGGTTTGAAATGTGCAAAAAAGCAGATTAATCTGAAAAATCAGTGTATCTTAGGGTAGAGAGGAATGCTTGATTGATAAATGAGACATATTACCTACACAATAAAATAATAATTAAAAGAGCAGGCTTATGTAAAGAGAAATGCTGAAATAAAATGGGGAAAGCTTATCAGAAGGGTTAATTCAGCAAAGATCCATAAATATGTTGAGGTTAAATTTATAGTGGGGCCAACATTTTGTTGGTAATTGAGTCAGTAACAAAAGCACAGCTGACTAGTCCTGAAAAGTTGATCCTGAGATTTCTTAGTCGGCTGGTCAATGTAAACACCAGGTGGAGCATAGAAAGTACAAAGAGGTAATACCTGGACTCTTCACCTAGAGACATTCTCCTCATGGCAACAGTGAGGATCTCACATTTAATGGCACTTGCCAGTGACAGACAGGGTGTCTCTGACATGTCCTTTCCTCATACTCCTTTCAAAATATTTTTTTTCCATGGTTTGTTTCCTCAGGTCTGTTGCATAGGAAGAGTCTAAATGGATTTAAAGGGGCTTAGATGAG